CCACACACACGCAAGTGGTTTAGTGAGGGTACTCTTTCTGTCCACAACTCATACAGTGTTTTGGGCACCGACTTTCTTGATACTCTATTGAGAATATGAATGGCGGTTTTTAACGCCTCCATCCACAGGCTCAACTATAAGGTGGAATAACTTATCATACTGCCCACCATATCCATCAGGGTGCGATTGATTCTTTTAGCTATTCTATTCTGCTGAGGTTCACCCAGTGTAGAATACTAGGCTACTATGCCATTCTTTTAGGGTATGCCGACTGTAGTACCCCCCACGGTCAAACCTGACTATCTTAATCTTTAATATCTTAAATTTATCCAATATATTTTTTCTTTCTTTGATTGGATAAATATAGCCATAATGGGAGTAATCATCTGTGAATGTTATGAACGGATCATAACCATCCACACTCTTTACAAGAAAGTTGACCACAGATGTCTGTGTGAATAATCTATAAAATTCATGCGCTTCGTTTGTCATCTTTCTTAATCTTCTTTACATACTTTTCTTTTATGCATTCCCTGTATTGTTCTTAATCTGAGAGCTCTAATGGAGGAAGAATATCATTCTTAACTTGTCTTTCTATTCTCCCCCTCGAAATATGGCTTAAACGACACTGTCATAATTTCGACAACGCATCATGAGCTCTCTTATGCCACCATTTCTAGAACAACACTCTGTCACCAACTGCTTTATCAGCTGGGTAGCATATGTCTTTGAAGAGCCAGTGAACTGACTCTTTATTCTATCGAGGTACTCGGTGACTGTGTCACACTCTGGGATTGAGCCCACAATTACAGGTTCAATCATGTTCTTTATCACAGCCAAAATATTTCTTGTTGGCAGTGACCCACTTCCTATGCACAAAAGTCATAGGACTATCTTTTGGAATTCAAAATCCCTCTCTTTAGTTATCCAAGTGGCATCATTCTCTTTTGTCTCTTTCACTGGTGCCACAAACTCAGTGGAACACGGTGAGGTGACTACCCAGTCCACCTTAGACAAGATAAAAACTAGGTCAAAACTTTTCTTATCATAAAAATAACACCATTTGCATGCCTTGATTCCAACGTTGGTTAAAATCAAAACATACAACTATTCTTATACACTAATTCTATATCACCGTTGGGCAGAAATAGAATTAATGCATAAATCATTAACTTTCATAATTATTCTTACACATTAATTCTACATCACCGTTGGGCAGAAATAGAATTAATGCATAAATCATTAACTTTTACAACTGTTCTCATACACTAATTCTACATCACCGTTGGACAGAAGTAGAATTAATGCATAAATCATTAAAATTATCAACTTTTCTTATACACTAATTCTACATCACCGTTGGACAGAAGTATAATTAATGCATAAATCATTAAAATTATGATATTGTTATTAACAACGTTGGTCAGAAAATAACAACATCATAATCATGTCAAATCTCTTTTTCTCTAATTAAATACCACATTGGTTCAAAATAACTGCAGAATCAACATTTTCTTTAGCAGCGGAAAAAACTTTCTTTTTCTCCAATTAAATATCACGTTGGTACAAATTAACTGAAGAATAAACAATTTCTTTAGCTGTGGAAAAACTCCCTTTTTCTTGAATTTTACCCATAGGGAAAATTGCCTTTTCTATTTCCTTTAATCCATTAATCAATTTCCAGGAAATAAACATTTACTGAAAAACTTTGAGAATATACTTTTTCTTTAGCAGCGGAAAAAATAACTCAATTTCTTGAATTTTACCCATAGGAAAAATTTACTTTTTCTATTTTCTTTTGAGCCAATTTGCATTTTCAATTTTCTAGAAAAAAGAAAAAGGCGAAACGGGTTCATTCTTTACTCTCGGCGGCCCAAAACGACAAAAACTAGCTCGGCCCAGCTCATCGCGCGCGCAGGCCGCACCCAGGCCACAACCTGGACCTGGGCCGGCAAAGTGCGCTGCCGCCACCTGGGCCGGCGATGGCCCGATCAATCTTGGCCATTCATGTCGATCCGACGGCTCCGCGTCGATTTCGCGCAAACAAAACCGCAGTCGCGGCCTCTGTCCGGAAACCCTAGGTCATTTGGCCGCTCTGCTTCTCTCTCTTCGCCGCTCTCCACTCCTCTCTCGCGCCGTTCTTTCTTCCTCAGCGCATCCAGCAGCGACCGAGAGTGAGACAGCGAGCGAGCGGGCGGTGGAGCGAGCATGGCGCCGTCGTCAGCCCCCTCGCCGGCGCGCGTGCTCCCCAACGGGTGAGCACGCCGCCGTCGAGAGGCCTGGCCGCGGCGCCCCCGTCCCCTTCTCTCTTCTGGGATTAACCCGTGGTGGGGATGGGGTCAAAATTAGGGTTAGGGTTTCACTTTTTGATTCGATTCGGCCGATTCGGTCTTCTGTTCTTTTGATTTCTTTTTCTTTTCGTTCATCCGAATGGGGATCTAGGGTTAGGGTTCGGTTCCGACCCCTGTTCTTTTTCTTTCTTTGGATTTCCTTTCTTTCTTCTCGGATTCAACCGGTTAGGGATGAGGATTCATTCTAGGGTTTGGGTTTCGGCTCTGTTCATCTTAATGCCGAAACCTTTTCTTTTCCCCCTTTCTTTAACCCAGTTAGGGTTAGGGAACCCCTTCTCTGTTCAGATCCGAAAGGATGTGTTCGGTTCTTTTCTGTTCTTCTTCTCTGATCCGAACACGGATCTTTTCTGTTCTTGCCGTGCGCCAGTGTAGAACAGCGGTGCGGCCATCTTTTCCCCCGCGCGGTGGCGGTGGTGACCGGTAGACAGCGACTTCCGCCACCCCGGTCACTCTTTCTTTCTTCTTTTACCCGATTAGGGTTAGGGTTACACAGAGGCAACCTTGCTCCGATACCATTGTTAGGATCGATGATTACCTCTCTGTGTGTAACCGTAGATCCGGAAAGGCTGCTCGCCTTTCTCTGTTGCGGCGCATCGGCAAGCGTGGACGCCGATGCCGCGGTGTAGTAGACGTCGTAGTGGTGAGGAGGTGAAGTCCAGTGGCCCGGTGTAGACCTGCAGGGGCGACGGCGGTGCGGTAGGACATCCCGTCGCTGGCAGCACTTCTTTAGGATCGGATTAGAGTTTTCTGTGGGTGGGATGACGGCTCCAGTGAACCTCGTAGTCCAAGCCTTGATCCCCACCTTCCTTTTATGTGTGTTGTGCGACAGGGGCCCACCAACCGTATTAGGGTTGGGCTCCCCGATCAAGGAGCAGAGACAAGGGCCCAATAGGTGGAGATCAACTAACAGCTTGGTTTCGTGTAGTCACTTCGTCGTACGATGTCGCTGAATATATAAAATGTTCTGATATGAAATAGCATTGCGTTTTGTAATCCGAAGAGTATGTGTTTTGGTAGGATGTTGTTTGGTCGTCATCTCAAGTTTAGAGGGTGATTTAAACAAAAAAAAATGTAGAAAAGAAGGAAAAAAGGGTCATCTTTGGATGCTTGGAGCATGCTATCTAATCCTAGACAGAAGACAGTACCGTACTCCTACGTCGGTACCAGTAATTTTTTTTTGAACAAAGTTAGCTGGCGCAACGTAGTTGCTGGTTGCTGCGACCTGGTCTGCCATGTGTTTTTCAGTTTCTGTCAATGTTCGGCTGACCAACAAGCTGGCTTGTTCGGCTTATTTTTCCAGTGAGAACAGTGTTTTTCTTTCACGACATTCCAGTATAAACAGTGTTTTCTAGTATGAACAGTGAAAATTGATACCAGCCGAACACTGCCGGACGTAAACACAGAGAAGAAGAGTACGGCGCGGTAGTGTTGCCATCGGGAATACACTGCCGGACGTGAAAAAAATCATTTCAGGGGCCATCGGGAAGCAGCAGCAGCAGGACGTAAACACAGTAGTGTTGCCATGTCACCTCCTCAAGCGTGAGGCCCATGGGATGGGGAAGCACAAAGAGAAGAAGAGTACGGCGCGGTCCAGAGGCAAGTCCAAACCCAGGCAGGCCCACGAGGCGAGAGCGGGAACAAAGCAAAGCGAGCGCTCACCGGTGCAGCCAGCAACTGCAGGTGGCCAGTCCAAATCAGACGCGGACGGAGGAGGCGAACAAAGCACGACGCCGCGGCGCGGATCCCCACTCATCGCCTCCCCGTCAGTCCCGTCCGTGTCGGTCGCGCGCGCTACGTGAGACTACGTCCGTATGGCTCCTTCCGCCTACGCCCCCCCCCCCCACCCCCATACGCGACGCGCCCAGCTTTCGCTGGCCATCTCGCGTTCACGCCTCCACTCGCTGCGTGTGTTCGCATCCTCTGACGGCTGACGCCGATCCTCGCCTCACGCACGCGTGTCCTTCTCACTTTCCCGGCCTCCTGTCTCCAGAGTGACACTCTACTGCCACCCTGGGTTAGCGTAGCAACGTGCTAGTGGTCGCGCCTTCAACATCATCGTCCTATCATCTTCTTTACACGATACAAACAGAAAATACTAGGCCAAAACATGCCACGTTACATCGCTCGTGCTGACAAATGGAAGCAAGATAACGAAAGTGAAGATCGAAAGCGTTGATAAAAGGAACCCTTTTTTTTTTTGCCTCTTGGTGCAACATAAAGAAAGCGAGGCTGCTGGTGTGAAAGATAGACACTTCTGCTGCCATCAACAGATTAACTCTCTCTCCCTCTCACTCACCTTGCCCTTTTTCTTTTCACAAAAAACAACGGGCGTGTTCGGCTGGCTTGTTCCGCCACTCACAAAATCACTGTTCACGTCCTGCCAGAATAGTATTTTTCTCTCACAACAATCAGCCGGAACAGTATTTTTCAGTCCTGCCGAACAGGGCCAACATCATTGCTTATTTTATTCTTTCGCTTGGCCTAACATATACTAGGGAGAACATGTATAATACACAAGCTAAGGAGATGACAGGGATACGGTATACATGATGCTATATATGTATGTATAGAGTATATATGATGAATCTGTACGGCGATTATACAGGATGCACGGCATGATGAGATGACACTGGATTAAGGGCATGCTAATCAGTGACACGCATTCATCACATGATGGCGCAGGCGTAGGAGGGGTCCTCCTCGCAGACGATCCGGTAGCCGCCGCCGCAGGGGTTGCAGGGATACGGCTGGGGCACGTACTGCGGGTAGTACTGCGGCGGGGGGCGGCGCCGGCGCCGGGGCAGGCTCGGGGGCCTTGCCGCAGGAGCAGCAGTGGCACCCGCCGTGGCCGTGTTGGCAGCAGCAGTTGGACGGCCACGCCGGGTACGGGTACGGGTACGGCCACGGGTAAGGGACCTTCACCACCTTGGGCGGCGGCGGGGCGGGCTTCTCCTTGGGTGGCTCCTCCTTCGGCGGTGGGGGTTTCTCCTTCGGCGGCTCAACTTCCGCCGGCGGCGGCGGGGCGGGCTTCTCCTTCTTCTCCGGCGGTGGCGGTGCCGGCTCCTCCTTCTTGGGCTCCTCCTTGGGCTTGGGCGGCGGGGGCTCGACGATCTCGATCTGCTTGATGATCTTGCACGCCTTGCAGCAGAGCTTATCGGCGAGCTTGTCCGGGTCGAAGGGCCCCGTGACTTTCACCTTGTTGTTCTTCTCGTCGAAGTCGATGTCATCGATGCAGAACTCACCCTTCTCTGCACGATGCACGGAGCACACAGCAACAACAAAACCGCGGCATCCATCGTCCCAAGAAATTTATCAGTTGCCATCGACGAAGCAGCTCAACACCACAAATGGAAGGAAGAACAAACAGACCTTGGATCCTGTTGAGCACCTTCTGGATCTTAGCACGGCAGCGGCCGCATTCCAGGTCCACCGAGACGATGATGGTCGGCATCTGCTCTGCACACAGCTCCCTGGTCACAACGAAATCCTTTCCTCTAGTCTAGATAAACAGAGAGACGCAGCATACGCCCACAGACAGATGCATCAACAATTTCATGCACACACACACAGAGACAGAGACAGACGAGGACAACAACCTGTGTGATTGCAACTGGTTTATGGCGGCTACCAGCACGAAATAAAGATAAGAATTTGGAAGGAGAGCAGAGAAGAAGCAAAGGGGCCCGTTTGAAGCGTGGAACACACTCCACTCCAGAATAAATAAACAAACTCATTAACAGGGGATAGGACAGCCGCTCTTGCCATCAAAGAGGTTTGGCCAAAGATCAAATCAGTACGTAATCTTTAAGCAATAAATCCCACGAATTCTCATCTCAAAGAGTAAAGAGCGAGGAAGGACAGGGAGTGAGCAGAGCACCTTGATTCAGCCGGCCGGCGCCAAAATGGCAGGCCGGGGAGGAGGAAGACGTGTGCTGTGATGTGAAGAAGAGAGAGGAAGGGAGGGGGGAGGATGCTGTGGCGTGAATACGCGGCTATATAAGCAAGCACCAACGCCTGACTTCCTCCCACGTCATCTGACTCATCTTGGAGGAGCCGTGGCGATGGCAAAAGCAGAGGGGAGAAGAACTAGCAGCCACGGTGAAGAAAGAAGCAAGTAGAGAAGGAATCGATAGAAAGGCCCTTTGGAAGGCAGCAGCAACCGGCCGAAAACAGCAGCACTCGGGGGGGCTACCTTCCCTGCAGGCTGCAGCACGCCACCACCCGCACCCGAAAGCTCGCCCGGCGTCGCCGTCGCGGCTGTTATTTGGCGCTGTTCCTCTCCAGGATGATCACCACATGGCTACGCCCCCAAAAAGGCTCGCTCCGAACGTTTCAAATAAAATCGCTCCTTTTGCTTTCAGAAATGCTATATGGCAACCGAGTGTGAGGCTTTGCTTTTGTGATGATGAAGTGAAAATACGGCATTGCGCCACTCGCTCAGGTGCTTTCACGTCAGGTGAGGGATGGATGGCACGGTTCGTTTCGTGACGCCGATGGTGCCGCCGCGAGTGACCGCGCGTGAGCAGTCTTTGTTCTGGATCCTTCTGATAAAGGCACAAAGCAGATGATTTTTCAACCTTTGTTTTCGCCCGGAAAGGTCGTATTCCAAGAGTGCTAGATACGTGCCCCGGTGAAGAACTGGTGTGTAATGAACTCCAGCCTGGAGGCTGATGGTGAGCACCGAGAGCAGTTGTTTTCAGATGATTTCACGATTACAGGGCCGGCTTTGATGAATCTTTGACCCTGCGTCAACAGCGAGTGAGCGGAGTACGTAAGCTACGAGACGCCATGTGATCATCGTAGCAGATCACTCGGACCAGATGCCTTCGGGCTTCGGTTCAGCGCCGCGCGCTGGGATGACGACGAGATGGGCAGCCGCGGTTGCAGGCTGGTCCACCCCGTGCACGACGCTTGGACCATGGCGTCGTGCCACATGTTTGGCCGATCTATAAGCCGCTTGTGTTGATTTATATGATTAATTTATTATGAGAGAAAAATATTGTGCCATGAACAATAAGCCGTCTCATTAGAGCAGCCCAAGGGAGCCATGCCCACAGGCCACACACGAGACACGACTCATCATCCCCTCGCCTCATCTCTGCTGCGCTGCGCCAACACGATCTGTTTAGTCGTTTGCGAGTGGCGGCACGTTGCGATGGGAATGGGAATTCGTGATCCGTTCGGGTCCACAGACCACAGCAACGGCCGACGTTCAATGTGACGATAACAGGAACCCGTCACCCGCACTGGCGCACAGCGATCGCAGATCGGCAACCAATTCTCCAAGGCCCCAACTGCTGGATGCTCTGGTGGCATTTGATAGTACAGCAGAACCTCAGCCTCCATCACATAAACTGCTCCTGGCTGCTACTGAGTGCTGTGTGTAATTAACTCCTGACCCTGTGCATCTGCGTGCCGTCGGTCCAAAGGAGGACCTATATTACCCACCTTTGTGAGGCCAGAAAGGGGATTCTCTGCCTTTTCTGTGGGATAGACAAAGTGCCATATCTTGTTCCTCACCCTACCGTCCGTCTGATCCGAAAGGCGGCGCGTGAGGTCAACAAACCAGCAAAACAAATGGCGCCGTACCCTCCTAAGCCAGACCCACAGCCTCCAAAGAATGCTGTGGTTTTTAGACCGAGAGACGTGCACGCTAGTACACGGCATAGCAGAAGGCGCACGGGCGCAAGCCGTGGGGGGCAGGGCAGGGCATCATCTTCGTCCGCCCGTCCCGTCCCACTGCACGGCGACGGCGCACATGCCTAGGGGGTCGGCGACGGGCAAAGCCTTGGCGTTTCCCCGGCCGGGCCGGACAGCCGGCCGCCGTCCTTTGCTCGGTGGTTGCGCAAACAGAAGCTGGCGTCCATAGGCCGCTCCCTCTCCGCAACAACCGCGAGCCGCTCACGCGCAGTCCATTCCATCCAATAAACCAATGCGCTGCCGCTATCCTTGCTCTCGGCAGTCGGCACCCGACCCGCCAGCCTAGTTGCCGAGCCAGCGACGCGCGCGCGCACAGTGCCGGGACTGCCGCTCGCCCGCGCGCCCCCATCGGCCATCTCGTGCTGCGTCCGCCCGCCCGAACGGAACGATCCCATTATTGCTGCTACCGTGGCCGCTGCCGCTACTTTCCCCCGGTCGCTGTCGATGGCCTCGTCAGGCACGTATCAGTTCGGCGTCCGCGACACCCAGCATTTCACGAGGAGGCCGCGGTGTCGGTGGTCGTTGCTCTGCTACTTACCACTGCAGATTGAGTGAGCAATCCTACTATGAATTGTGATTCTCTGTGTGTCTGCACCGCATCACCTGCTGCTTCCTTTCCGGTCAGTTAGCGCGAGCATAGTATGTCAGTTAGCTGGACACGTGGATGACGGCAACGTGGGGGAGTGGAGAGCATCCTGGTGACGCCGAAAGTGCTTCCCAATTGAGTGAGATTAGGAGCAAAGGAAGCTGTAGCTGGTGAGTGGTGAGACATCCGGTTCCGGTGCAGCCGTGCGTGCCCAGCTAGTTCGCTCGCCGGTTTCGTCAAAAGCGCTTTTGTTTCGATTCCAGGAGTAGCCGAACTGTTTAATTTGTTCTCTGCCTTCCTTTTCTTTCCAAAAAAAAGGTTCGTTAGATCTGCTCCTCCTACCAGAACCTCCATTGGTGTGCCAGACTGCCGCCAGGCACTGACAAAGGCGAGTTTCCAACAGAGGCAAAAAGTCGCCGTGGCGGAACCGCAAATATAGCTAGCTGTGGTGTGTTCCTGCGCCCGGTTTGTGCGTCTCGGTGGAATCGGGCGAAGTAGGACGCCACCGACCTTCCACATCGAGAGATAATAAGGGAATAATGGATCGCGGCTTGGTTAGCAGATGATGAAACTGGCGGCAGAGAATAATGGGCTAGGCAGCCGCGCCGCCTGCCGGTGACAAAGAAGAGGAGAGGAGGTGACGAAAGGGCCAGGTCGATCGACACACAACAGTGATGGACGGCAACTGTTGGGGTGGTTGCGGTCTCGTAGAATCCAAGTAGGACGGACTGCTCGATCGATTTGGAGGAGTAGGTTAGGTGGGTTAACAACTTAACCACCCTGCACCGTACAGGACGAATGGACGAACGATGGAGTCACACGGGCACCATCAGTGCACACTTGTGAAAATGAAAAGGTTGAGACTTATATACAGTGTATGGCTTAGTCACCCGGCAACAGCTAGCAACTCTCACCATTTGAAAGTAATGCTGGTGTTGTCGTGTAGGGTCCGGTTTCTTCTGGTCATGCATGGCGACTGCAAGGCGTGCAAAAACTGCGAGAAAAACTTCTGGCTGATATGCTTGGCTTGGCTTTGGCCGTGCGCTCACGAAGATGGGACGTCTCCAATGGAGAGTCTACGACCTTGGTCCTAAGATGGGACCTCTAGCTGATTTGATGTCACCTGTTATATTAGCTCAAACGTTTAGGACCACTGATGTGAATCCATAGACAGGAGCCATATTATTATGAGAGAAAAAATATGTATCTTCTAATCCCTTTCGTTGGTAGTATTAATATGTCTTCATTGAATAGAATCTGACTCCATGGATGGGCATGCTCTCTATATGGAATCGAATCCACAATGTAAAGAACTTGGTTCTATATTTGCATTTAGTAATATATAGGACTAGCCAAAAACCACACGTTGGAGAGACCCGATGCCCATGTGCTCCTACTACGATTAAAAAACACATGAAAAGTGCTGACCAAACTGCACTAGAAGCATGTATGAATTGGATAGGCGCATCTATCTATGATATTGCAAAAAATGAGATTAATCAAAATTTTGTGCCAAGAAAAATAAAAAAAAAGGCAAATCAGCCCTTGCAGCACTCGAGGTCCGGATGCAGCTGATTCAAACAAACTCCGCCATCCGCTGCTTCAGGCTTAGCTGTAAAGTGCGTGCGGCGCTACCTTCCTTCCGTTCGAACATTGCTGCGTTTTCGTCGACCACCACCGGTGACCGGTCAGCACTGTATATCCGCCATCCGGCGGGTCGCCTTCGTGGTGCGTCAGCCGGGGACGCGCGTTATTCGGCCGCCAGGCTGCGAATCAGAAGGACGGACGGGAGGACCACGTGTGCACGCACCTGTCTTCTCCGGCTCATAAATTTTGCGAGACCTCGGCTCGCAATCGACTAGTACGTATAATTTTTACGGAGTAGCTCCTACTCCGTACTTTGAAAATGCAAATCGCATGCACGAACGGTACGATTCTCTCAGGCCTCGTTGGATTAAACAAAAAAACATAGGATTCTCATTCATTCGTATGGATTGAGTTAGTAGAGCGTCTTGTGATTCGTAGGAATAGCTTGCAGAAAAGATATGAGATACTTTTCTATGAACTAATTAATCCATGAAAAATCCTAGGAGTTCGATTTTGGAAGTCTGATGCTAGCCGGATGAGCTAATTAATCAATCTACTGAAGTTTGAACAGCATTTTC